GTCCTACATATACCTTTATGCATGGATATAAAAACAATTTTGTGATTTATAGTTCTCCATCCTTCTAGCTCAGTCACTGAGGGCTTTTACAGAACAACTGACAACTGGGGACATGCCTGCCTTCTTTTCTATCAGTAAGATACAACATCAGATTGTCTTCTAATGGGAATCAACACTGTTTGAGAAAACCACCATATTTTATCTTAAAAAGACTCAACAATTTTTCAGATAGTGTTTTTCTTTTATAAGAAAAACGATACATTATGACAAAGGAATGCAAGTTAGTACCATTACGTTAGTATGGATAAGGAAATCTGTCGTGACCTCGAGGCATCATGCGCTACAGACAGATACATCTTCTGGCTATTCTGGTCAATCGTCATCAAAAAACGTATAATAAAAATACAATAACTTATGTTTAAAATGCAAATTTAATATCACTTTAACCTGAGCTGCACTATCAAATCATCTTTTTGATAGTGCAATAGGATTGCTACAGTTCTGGTGAAAGAAAGTGCCTACTCCCCAACACAACCCAATTCCTCCCAAGCACACTGAAAAACAATAACTTGACTACTGTGGCAAGACGAGAAAGAGTTAACTGTTCAAACACCTCATCAGAGACTCAAAATCTGCATGTTTGGGAGTGGATTTTTAAAAAATACATTTTATTCATTGCAATTTAAAACCATACTTATTGATGTATTTTAACAATAAAGAATCTTCTATGTGCTATGGTCTATACAAAACGTAGTATTGTTAACTTCAAAGGTGGTAAGATGATTAAAATAAAAAGTTCAAGTAACGTGACATGCAGCAGCATTAAAGATAGAAGACTGAAAAGTCCCAATGCCTTAGCAGAATCCTTTTATATTTTTGTTACAGTGGGAAAGTCTTCAAATGAAATCCAGCAACCATAAGCACACATAAAAGCTTTTAAAATCTTTTCACAATACGTTAGTGAAAGAAAGAATCATAAGAGCATTTTTATGGGAACAAAGGGGGCTTTACTTATTAAAATCAATACTATTGACCTTGGCTTAAGGTATCATATTTGTAATGTTTTTAACTCCTAAAATGTATCTCTTACATTTAACAATTTCTGAAAAAGGACCTAAAATCATACCACGGGTTTCCAAGAGTCACCCTCACCCCTCAGCTAAAACCATCCCAAGAACCTCAGACTCTTGGCAACATTCAGTCTCTGTGGTGCTAAGTTAGAATGAACATGCTAAAGCATAATGACACAGAAGCAGGAAGTTTTATACTGAAAAATGGCCTTGAAAATTGCCTTTCCATTACAGTCGCTGAAGTACTCATTCAAGTCGTCACTTCTCTCTAGCCCAGTGGTTCTCAACATGTGGCCCTGTGAACTGTAGCATCAGCATCACCAGGGAACTTGTTAGAAATGCAAATTCACAGCCCCACCCCACACCAACTGAATCAGAAACTCTGGGAATGGGGCCCAGCAATTTGTGTTTTAACTAGCACTACAGATTATGATGTACTCCAAAGTTTGGGAACTAGTCCTCCTTAAACTTTAATGTGCATAAGAATCACCTGGGGAGCCTGTTAAACTGCAGATTCGAATTCAACAAGTCTAAGGCAGGGCCTGAGAGCCTATATTTGTAACCATTTCTAAGGTGATGTCTTCTACAGACTACAATGCAAGGGCTTCTCAAATCTGTTGTTTACTGAAATTACCCAGGGTGCTCATAAAATACAGATTCCAAGGCATTACCCTAGACCAAATTAATTCAAATCTCAAGAGAAAGATTCAGTAGACTATAACCAGTGGTTCACCACCTTGGCTGCACATTAAACTCACCTGGGGAGCTTTTACTAATCCTGATTCCCAGGCCCCATCCAAGACCAATTAAATCAGAATCTCTGGGGTTGGGACTCAGGCATCCATATTTTAAATAACTTCCCAGTGACTCCAATGTGCAGCCAAGGTTAAGAATGACTGCTCTGGAGTCTAACTGGCTCAACACCCGGCACAGTGGATCCCTTTATAGTAGCAAACAGGTTCCTATAAAATAGCTATCTGGGCTCACTGACAAAGAGCTCTGAGTTTAAATAGCAAAATGCAGTAAAGTTTTCCTCATGTCTTGAACCAGATTTCTGTGCACAAACCTGCTTGTACAATGCTCTCTGCAATTGGGTAGGTACTCAAAAAATGGCAGCAACAGTTAAGAATTTGTATCTATATAGCCTGTTCATATATTGACATCCCCTCAATACTGAAACACATAGATGACTTGAAATTTCCAATAACCTTTCAGAGTGGAAGGATAACTAACTGATGGGTCTAGAACTTCTAAACCTAGAAAATGAGGATTTCACCAGTTACAGACATTGAGAGAAAGGTCGTGGAGATGGGTGAAAATAGTGTGCTTTTACATGAGAAGATAAAATTGTCAAAAGCGCATCTTCTGGTGGGCAGAGACAGGACCTGAAATACACTGCTCATGACATGATAATCACTGTGAGAAAAAATCCCAATATATCTATTTATGTCTTATGGCACTTAGGATAAACCCACACTAGTAAGTACACAATGCTGTTAAATGTAAAACAGAAAGACAAATGTGTGGTAGTTACTAAGGCACTGTTAAATGCTTAGTTATTTCCCTCCCATAATCAACAAGTTTTCCTGAATTTTCCACAGTACACCTCAAACATGAATTGAAGATAAATGGAAATAAGACAGTCCACTTTCCACTTAAGTGAACTTTCATTCTGAACTTGGTCATGTTCAGTGTCTACTCTACATTAGCTGTTTTATAGAATACATGACATATTCAAGGTCTGCTAAATAATAATAGCTATTATTCTTCCACCACTGTTTCAATGTATTCACAGTGGTCAAAAGTGTGTCCTATCATCTGTTTAATTCCACGAAAAAGAACTCCAGGGGCTGGGGTATTTGAAGAGAATACATGTGCAAAGTGGCTACTGTTAAAATATTTTCAAAAGCATTTTCTGTATGAACTGGTCAAGCTCACTTTTCTTTTAAAATTCTTGTTATAGTCATTGAGTTAACCCAAACTCACTTTAAAATGTGTGAAAATAGCACCTCCTGAAAGTGTGTTCTCATATGCTTTGGAGCAATGGAGCGTGAATACTAAAACAGCCTTTGCCAAACTCATGTAACAGCTCAAGAACTAAACAGGAGTGAATTTTTGCAGTCCCATGACTTTGCAGAGCCAACCTAAGTATCACCCCAGGAGTAGCTTTAGTACATCACAGACATCCAAGAGGAGGCAGAAAAGTCACAAATAAGCGACTCAAACTAATAAATATTTCACAGATTTTTTTACATGGCAGTCTTTTCAAAATGAATTTTACTTCTTAACCAAAAAAAATAATTGGCTAAATAAAGGTGTGGACTTAGGATTTAAGCGTCTAGAATTAACACTATGAAATGTATAAAGTTATTTATTTGACAAAGTGTTCTCCTGGATGCTCTTTCTTGCACTTCTCATGAACCAATGCCCAAAGATTAACCAAGTCTAAAATAAAATGCACAGACCACGGAAGAGTCATACAAAAATTAAAGACATTTAAAGCATAAAAGCCAAAGAAAACAAACAGTACAAATGCACAATTTCCAGGACACTTTATTGTAATTTCCACTTTACATATTAATTTAATATTTTAGTCTAGGCAGAAGTGTTTATACTTATCCAATAGTAGTCCAATCCTCTAATCTCACAAAATGAAAAGGAGCAGTTTTAAAAGAACATCAATCCAGGTATTTATGATATGGGGACAAGGTACACTTGTCTTAGCTGGAAAAGGGGCTGTCTTTCAGTACGAGTTTCACTGAAATTTTTCTGTATTATTTTTCTTGTTGATGCTAAGTACTCAAATAAAAGCAATTGCACTTTTTCTCATTCTGCCCTCTCTTGGTCTTTACATTCTGTCTAGCATTTAACTCAAAAAGTCAGTTTACACTCAGTTTACACATTAAAAATAAACCATATGCCCCATCTCCCACACATCCAAATGGACAGGGATTAGAATTAACCTGGCTTTTAGCTGTAACAGTGCTTTTTTAAAATTTTTCAACCACACACTTGAAGGGTAAAATAATTTGAGGTACAAAACCAAAGGAAACTATAACAATTCCTACACATTTACTATTTAAGTGTTTTCAAATCGTCGAGTATAACATGGATTTCTTAAAAAGTGAAATCGACACAAAAGCGAATGCATGCTTAATGTACAAACTGACAGTGGCTCTGTGGGGACAGCTCTCTTTAAATGAGCTATTACCCAGACGGTGGAATGAAAAAAAAAAAAAAAAAAAAAAAAAAAGTCGCTTCAAATGTGAGGAAGCCGGCAGTGGGCTCGCTACACGAGAAACACATTTTAATGGGCGTATTTGGATAAAAATAGGTAGTAAGGGAAAATGTGTTTTAAGAAACCTCCCCCTTCCCCAGGGCACAAGGAAATCCAGAGGAAAAGATGGGTAACCTTCTCACAAGCTTCAGAGCTAAGTTCCATCACTAACAGAAGTTGCATAGTTGTTATTTTTCGCCCTGCAATGGGATAGTAGTTCTCCATGCGCAAGGTACGCGGGGCGGGAATACTAGCGGGGCTTTCACTTGGGGTAATGGAAACCAAAGTGAGGAGAGGTCAACACCTTGAGTAACAACCCAGATCTCCAAAACCCTTGCAGGGTGAGTGGTGGTGGGGGTGGTGAAGGAGATAAGAAAAGAGTCAAAACTCCTCGAAGTTATCGCAAAGAGAAAGCTAACACCTCTGGGAGCCCCGGGGCCATCCCTTGCAGCAGCACCCTGCTCCAAGTGTGGGGTACCTGCCTCGGAGGGCAGAAAGCGAAGGGTGCCCTTACTTCAGTTAAGCGGCTCCGGGGACCCGGGCAGCGAGAGGGCAGGGGCATCCGCCGGCCAGGAGGCGGACTCGCACTTTGCCTCAACTCTGAGCCCCATCCCGAGCGCAAGGGAGAGGGCGGCAGAGGGCACGGTACTCACTAGGGCTCGTTGGTGAATCGGGGGGTCCGGGGCTGCTGGTATCCGTACAGGTGACAGTAGAGCACATCGAAGCAAAAGCAGCACATCTCTGCTGACACCACCATCTTCCGGGAGCCCGGCGATGAGGACGGGGCGGCGGACGAAGAGCAGGGTGAGGAAGAGGCGGCGGCGGCCGGGGTAGAAAGTAAGGTCCCCACTCCGCAGCTCGGTGGTGGCGACAGGGCGATCCCCCCGCCGCCGCCGCAGCCCTCGGGGGGAGAGAGGGTACAGCCGCTGCCGCTACCTCCTCCGGTTAGACCTCCCAGCCCGTTGAGCCGCGTACCGGCGCCTCCTAGTCCCAGCTCCCCAGCTCGGCACTGGCTCTCTCCGCTGCAGTGGGAGGAGGAGGAGGCGCCACCACCGCCACCGGAGCCAGAGGGGGGCGAACTGGACAGTTTCTGCTTCTTCACCCCGCAGCAACCCGCCGCCATCTTGGAACAGTCTCCCCCACGCAGCGTTTCCGACCCATAAGTGAGGCGAGCTGGCGGCGGGGGCGAGCACGCTGCGGCCCCGGCCGCCGGGGGCGCGCCAGAGGCTGGCGGGGCGCGCGCGCGCCGCTCCCGGCCCCGTCTGCCTAGACAGACGGCTGCCCCGCGCGCGCCCCCGCCTCGGCGCGCGCCCCGCGCTTTCGCGGCTGTGCGCCTCGAGCCTGTCCCGCCCGACTCGTGCCGCTTCTGAGCTGCAGCCCCAGCCCCAATCTCAATCTCTGCGGCCGGCATAGGATGGAAGACAGGAAGCCGATTAGGAAGGAAGGTGAAGGAAACAAGAGTCAGGCAGTGGCGAGTGGGAGCAAAGGGAGGAGGTGGGCACGCCTGGGAAGGAAAGAAGGAAAGGGAAACTAGTGGGGGCAGGGAGGAAGAAAGGAGAAAGTCCGAGGTAAGCATCCAAGTCCCAAAGCACAGCTCAGTGACCCCCGCTGCACGTAGTAGTATTAATGGCACTTAAGCCCAGTTACGTGGAACTTGAGCCACCCGGCCTCAAATACACGGGTTTCTGAACTGTTTGTGAGCAAGCAGGTGCCCGGAGCTCCACACCTGAAACCGCCCCTGTAAAGTATGTACAAAGCATTCGGGGAAATGGCCACGCTGCGGTTTTTAATTCTAGCCTAAGCACACACCAGAGGTTTTCCGAGATTATGGTTAAAAAGTAATACTCTTTCCTTATAGACAAATATTCAAGTCTGATTGAATCTATGTATCTTATAGTTGTTCCCCTGACTTACACTCCTAGCCCCGTGTAAACATTTAAAAGCCAAAGATAAAGTCCTAACCAATACTTCACTGGTTCAAAGATAGATATTGATTGTGCTCTGGGACTTGCAGTGGTGGACTTCTCTGGTTTGGATTTTCATTTCTTGGCTTGGAAACAAAGCAATTAGAAATATTATCTGTAGTGCTCAGATCTTAGAGATAAATAGGGAAGGTAATGTACTTAGTCACAAATTGAAAGATACTGTTCAAGTATATAATTAGCTCTTAATATTCATTTTTTTAAATTTCTCAGTTAAATGCTTGGATGGATGAGGAGGCATATGAGTCAGTCCCTTTCTGGGAGCCTAAGTGCAGCTTAATAATAAAAATAATGACAATAATCAAATGCTAAAATTCATAAAAATGAACCTGATAGAAATAGCAAGTGTAAGTTACTTGCATTGTATCTACACCATGCTAAAACATCTAGATAAAGTCAGGTATCTGCATATTTAAAAACTGCAGATTGATTTTTGTCACCTTTTATCTACATGCGTGGGATCTTGCAGGTAGCTGGGGGCTGTTCATTCCCCTCAGGGAATAAAAACAAAACAATTTATTTGTTCAGTAAATATTGAGCCTCTGCACTATACTATGTGCACAACACTACACTTCTGTTGAAATCCGGGGAATGCACAGGAAGTGTGCCTCCCACTCTCAAAGAGTTTATGAATTAAGTCAGATACATGCATGAAATCAGATAAATAGCTATTGTACTATGTATTTAACACTTTTTAGGTGCCCTGTACCATACCTCATCTTACCCCATAATCCTTCAAAATAAGATACTATCTCATTTTATCTTCAGAGCGATGCTCGGAGGTTACTCATTCACAGATGAAGCTATTAAACCTCAGAAGTAATTTGCCCAACATCGCACACCCAGAAAGTGACAGAGCCAGCACTAGAGTGCCAGCATGTCTGATTCCAAAAACCATACCATTATCCTATATTGCCTCTCACTAAAAATATGTTATAACAAGGCTAATGATGGACGAAAGATAATGACATTACACTCCAGCAGGTGGAACCAAGGTTAAACAAAAATAAAAACTTAGTTTTTATGGAAAATTTGAGAGACACTGAAATATGTTATCAAGGAAAGATGAAAAATCTCCTTCCAAAAACAGGGTTTTGTTTTGTTTTGTTTTGTTTTGTTCTGTTTTGTTTTGTTTGAGACGGAGTCTCATTCTTTTGCCCAAGCTGGAGTGCAATGGCGCAACCAAGGTTAAACAAAAATAAAAACTTAGTTTTTATGGAAAATTTGAGAGACACTGAAATATGTTATCAAGGAAAGATGAAAAATCTCCTTCCAAAAACAGGGTTTTGTTTTGTTTTGTTTTGTTTTGTTCTGTTTTGTTTTGTTTGAGACGGAGTCTCATTCTTTTGCCCAAGCTGGAGTGCAATGGCGCAAACTAGGCTCACTGCAACCTCTGCCTCCCGGGTTCAAGTTTTTCTCCTGCCTCAGTTTCCAGAGTAGCTGGGATTACTTGTGCCTGCCCCCATGCTCAGCTAATTTTTGACTTTTTGGTAGAGATGGGATTCCGTGCTGGCCAGGCTGATCTCAAACTCCCGACTTCAGGTGGTCCACCCGCCTCAGCCTCCCAAAGTGCTGCGATTACAGACGTGAGCTACTGCACCCAGCCCAAAAATATTTTTATGAGATAGACAAATGAAAGTCTGGGATGGTTAGATGCTACCTAAAGACAAAAGAGATAGTTTAATCAGTCGGCAATATGTAATTTCATCCTCTCAAACTTTATCACTGTTAGAATTAACCTTACGTTTGAAGCAAATAATTCATTGTCAACTACTAATGGAGTAAAAGAAATGCATTAATATGTTTGGCTATGTTACAGAAGAGAAAGCAGATAGTTTTTTTTTTTTTTTTTTTTTTTTTTTTTTTTTTTTTAAGCACCGCAACAACTGGTACCTTACAGTGTTTTGTACGTTAAGGTGTTTTGTTTTGTACTTTGTCCTTAACTGTAATAGCCTACCTTTTAATTTGTTTGAAGCTACATTGAATATAGTATCAGAAAATAGGTACCGATTTACTCCCCATGCCACTAAAGTGATCATTTCTTGAGTAAAAATCCAGAGCCATTTAATGACATCACACAACAGTTTAGCACAGGAAGCAAAGTAGGATATCATGGATGGTTGCTTCTGCTAGGGGAATTTAGGAAAGCAGAATGTAATCTCCCAATATAGAATTTGGCCAGTAGACAAGAGTCTAACGCCCCTACTCTTGTGAAAAATAGCAAGGAATCTTTAATAAGCACCAGTAGTCATGTCCTTAGTTCTGCATTTCATCTAAAAGACAAAGCACTATCATGGCTATCCTGCCAGGCTAAGGGACTGATGCAATGGGAAAACCCAAAGACAAGGACACCCCAGCTGAATTACAAAAATAGCTTTTCCCTAGAGGATTTTCAATTCTAATTCCAAACCTCACTAGCATAAAGAAAATAGACAAACTCAAATGTGATAATTGTAGAAAAGACATCATTACCTGACCGAAGGGGGTTACTATTTAAGTACTTTGTTGTAATGGTGGGCTAAAAGAGGGAAAAACACTAACCTTTATCTTTGTATTAACTTCTGAGCCTGGCTGGTCTCCCATACTAACCTTGAGCCTCAAGATGCTTTACAAATTCCTTGGCGAGTAGTGGTGGTGGTGGTGGTGGTGGTGGTGGTGGTGGTGGTGGTAATGTCTCCTTTAGGCCTTTGAGGAAATGCCTCTCCTGGCCTTGTTTTCTTGCAAAGTCACCAGCATAAAAAGAAACATATTTCATTGAAACATAAACGAAATCCACAGAACAAATTCTGTGAATTTTTTTTCTTTTAATCTATGCAAAGTGCGCACTGGGTGGATAGGAAAACCGACCTTGCTCAGGATTCTCTTGACTTGAACTATAAAGATAAAAGTATGATAGAGCACACGGTTTATACCCACTGCTGATACTGGAATGCAGTGATAGTACCCTCCAGAGGAAACTTTAAGATGCCTTCCTCTCTTTGTAACTGACTGTCAATCTGGGAGCTGAATATTCCACTTTTTTTAAAAAAAAGTAAATAGGCCATAGTCCCTTTGTCAACAAAGCACATTCAAATTGTGAGCATTTTTATTTCTGCAATTTAGAGGCAGCTCTAAATTGCTGTTAACTAACTCCTGTCAAAGGCTTTGTTTTACAATGGTGGAAAAAATACTTGAACAGTGGTTATGCATATTATTTACTGTGCAGCAAAGCTAGTAAGGATTAGGCCCAATAGTTACTTATATTATCATTGCCTCAGTTTATTCTCATGTTTACAACATAGTTATATTTTCATTTCAGAAACTGAGAATAATTATAATTCGATGAGGTAGTGAACTTAATGTTGCAAAATTATTTTCTTTGGTTTCTGGGGTTGTGGATAAAAAGGGGAACATTCATATATTTCATTGAAAAAAAGCCTGCCATTTATGTCCAAACAAGTGTTATTTTTATCCTCTGTCTTCAAACTTTCTCAACTGTCATCCTTGAACAACTGCCGAATATAATATTCTTAGCTACCACTTTGATCTAACCTTGTACACATATAGCACATGCTTGTTGTGGTGGAGGTGGTAATCAGTTCCCTTTTATATTTGAATGAATATGTGAGTAAATCCTGAAATTCTTTACCTACTTTTCAATTCAGATCAGTAAATCTGTTTTTTGTTTTTCTGATGACAAAACAGATCCTTCTTTCCAAAATTCTTTAATGAACACGTTTATGAGCCAAAGCACCATGATCTACCTTGGATTGTTTTCTAGTTGTTTCATTTACATCTTCTATTGTCATCTGGAGTGCAAACTAATTGAATGTTGTTTTTGCTACCTATTTCCTTTTGAGAAAGTTCTATAAACTCCTTAATGAGATTTAGATATGCTAGCATCTACTCTGAATGTGGAAGAATTAACAAATCTAGCTAGTTGTAGATTGGAGAAAAAGGCTTTTTAGGAAGAAGATGATCAAGCAGTGTTGTTTGGGGCAGTTAGAGGAGTTGTGAACAAGGTGTCTACCATAGTTTGGAAAAATCTTTACTTGACTATTTTTCTCTTTTCTCTCTTTTTAAACGAATTCATCTACTAGCTTCTGTACATATATTGGGGTGTGAAAATGTACATAATACAACCAAACTGACCTCACCTCCAAATTTGATTATAAAAATAAAGCTGTTTAACTAATTTCATTGTATTCTGGGACACCTATTCCAATTGGTTGGAGGTACAGTTTGGAGGGTGAGGATTAACACTATCAATTAAAATATAAAAGATTTTTCTGAATTAAAAGTCTCTTTTGTACAAATAATTTAA